CATTTCAGAGTAGGTCCCTTTATTTGTCACGTTGGAGTGTGAAGCTCTTTTGGTACATGTGAGCCTGTGTGTGTCTCTGAGACTCCCCTTCGTGCAGTGACCAGCACTGGCCTGTGCAGCTGTTCCCTCTCCGGATCTTTCGTATGGTAAGCAGGAGGATGCCTTCCGAACATCTTCCCTCCGCCCGCCTGCAAGTGGAAGCCTCTGTCACCTGTCTCTTGTCTCCCCCTCCGCTTCTCTGGTGGGCGGTTGTGGACAGGACCGCCGCTCCAGCTCCAGGGCCGCAGGGACAGTCCTCTTAATCCCACCTGTGGCCTGAGGTCAGCATTCTCCGGTAAACCCTACGAAGGACAACTTCGCCCTCAGTGACAGCCTCCAGGTCGAAAGCCGTCAGTGCCAGAGAGGACCCTAATGCCCGGGCGAAAGGTGGAAGCATCGTCACGTGCCGACTGGACCATGATGAAACAAGTGGAGAACTGGTACAGCCCCAGCTGGTGTAGCTCAGTGAATTGAGCACGGGCCTGTGAAGCAAAGGGTCACCAGTTTGATTCCCAGTCGGGGCACATGCCTGGGTTGCAGGCCAGGTCCCCAGTAGGGGACACATGAAAGGCAACCACACACTGATGTTTCTCTCCCACTCTCCTTCCCTTCCCATCTCTGTCTCTTAAAAAAAAAAATAATGATGATGATGATGATAAATAAACAAACAAATAAATAAATACATAAATTTTTTAAAAGAAAGAGCTGGTACAGAAAGCAGTAGGTCGGCTATGTCTGATCAGGGGCTGTACCTTAACTTGTTAGTTGTGGGCATTGCTCCTTCTCGGCCTGAACTAATGTGGCCTCTCCCCTCTCCTTGATGAGAGAGTGAATACCCGGTGTTCATTGGAAATCACTAAAACGTGGCTTTGTTGCAGCTCAGCAAAGTCGGGTGGCTTTAATTTACCGCAACGTGATAACTTTGAGTATTGTTACTTATAAATTCAGTTAAACCAAAAGCTGCAGGCATCTCAGATGCAGTCTGTGTTCATTTGAATGAAGGCCATCGGCGGAGGTGGTTAGGAGTTTACCTTCAGACGAGTTCGGGGCGGCTGGGTTCTCGGTCCAGGCCCCCGTAATGACCGCCCCTGCGGGGGGGAGGTCCTGACGCCAAGGCGGTGCGGTGCCCACGTGCACGGTGCCGCGTCCTTGTTCGTAACTGAAGGCGCCGGTCACTCCTGCTGAGTTTGTGCGTGACTGTGGATTATGAGCCCAACTAAAATCTCAGGGAAAGTTCGTTTTTATCAGGTGAGAAAGAGATACGTTTATATTTTAACTTGAACTCCCTGAAGCTACATCTGTGTATCTGTTTTCATCCAGACGTGTTGTCAGTGGGTGTCTTGGTTTCAAGGGAGATGTTTCAAACTCTGGCTTGAATTTCCTGCTTGGATCATCTTGGAGAACTAGCTGGGCCACCTTGGGCTGGTCACGGGGCTCCCCGAGTGTGTTTGATCCAAGGTGGGGGGTGTGGACTCACTGTTGGTGCGCAGTGTGGAGTTAGGGGTATCCGAGACCTGCGTTGCACGGTCGTGATGCGTGGGTCGTGACAGTGACTTTCCTTTCTCCTTTAATTCCTGTGATGTCCTTAAGACTGCCCCTCAGTCTGGTGTCCTGTCATCTTCCAGTACCTCTCCTAATAGAGTGGAGCTAAAATATTATATCACTGCTTTCATTCCAGTGTATTTTTCCCGCTCCCCACCCCATACTTATTATTGAAAAAAATTTTAAACCTATGGAAAGAGAAAGGAGAAAAAAAGCACAATAAGCACCAAATGCCTTTCACCTCAGTTCACCTGAGAATTAGGTTTCTGCACCACTTGCCTTATTTCTCACTCGTTTGCTCTCCTGGTTCACCCCCTCTCCATCCACAGGTGGTCAGGGGGGTATCAACTTAGTGGGTTCAGTCACAGCCCATGTTACTGAAAAGTACAGATGCGGAACTGAATGGACCAACTATTTTTTTCAGATTTTATGTATTTATCTTTAAAGGGGAAGGGAAGGAGGGGGGAGAGAAATATCAATGTGTGGTTGCCTCTCATGAGTCCCCTGCCGGGAACTGGCCTGCAACCCAGGCATGTGCCCTGACTGGGAATCGAACCTCGATCCTTTGGTTCGCAGGCCCGTGCTCAGTCCACTGAGCTACACCAGCCAGGGCTGAATGGACTTTTCTAAAAGCCTAACATAGCCCAGTTCACTTGTCCACGTGTGGTGGGTTCGCTCTGAAACTGTTCTGTGCTAATTCAGCATACTCGTTACTGAATTAATGTTTAGATTTTACGGTACTTACCTGAGACAACAAAGATCAAGAGAGGCATTATACAAGACTTTCTTTTCACTTGCCTTCATGACTATTAATAGCTACTTGTACCTGTATTAATGACATTAGCCAGGTTTCAAGTTTGGTAACACCTCAGAGGAATCCTTCACCAGCCATCAGGTTACCCAAGACGGAGCCAAGACACAGGAAGTCTGCAGCAAACAGGCGTCTTGGAAGCCATTCCCCAGAGCCCAGGGGCAGCGTTTACAGGCAAGCCCCTGAAGATTTGCTCTCTCCCGGGCCTCTTTGTTCTTACTGTATACTGCCTTCCCTGACGTCTCCTGGGCCAGTACAGAGAGAAAGCAGCACCGCTCAGGGTAAGCGTGTTGTAGCAGCGAGCAATCTGACGAGAGAGGAGACCAAGTCGGAGTCCCCCCATACCCACGAGAACTGTCCTGCATGCTCCGGACGTCGCATTTTAATCACCCTGCGCTGTGGGGGGCGGGGGCATGCTCTGAAGGTCAGGGACAGACACTGCTGGGGTGCAGACTAATAATGTCTGTTTGTCTTGCAAGCCAGGTGCTTTCTATGAGGACCGGGGAGGAGGTGGCACGGCCCTGGGATCAGAGAGTACAGGACAGCCTGGGGCCCTTCTGGAGCCTTCAAGGGCGTCACTGTGCAGACGTACGCACCGCGACTGGCGGGGTTGCCCGTGACGGTCCGGAGGCGTCTAGCTCAGGTTGAACTTTAATTCTGGTTCTCATGCATTTTGCCGGTGCATGTCACCACCAGCTTAAATTTAGCAGAGCATCAAAAATGAAGGAGGCCCCTTGACCTCTCTCCCTGCTGCACCATTTACAGCAAGGACTCTCCCCCCCTTTCGCCTGCAATCTGGGCTGCAGCCAGGGTCTTGCTGAGCCTCGAGGCCCCCGCAGATGGCAGGAGAGAAAGGGGAAGGGCTCACAACTGTATCTCACTGGGGGACCTGACCCCATAGCCTTTTCCACCACCCCTGTCCTTAGGAAGTGAGCGCCTGATAGGGTGCGCTGGGGGAGATCCAGTCATCTTCCCGTGCTCTCTGCCACACAGTTCCCTCTGCTGCTGCCTTCTACCTGTCGTGTGTCCCTGCTGTGCCTGGCACGGTGCTAGCCACTGGGGACACCTCAGTGACTGCACCCTGACTTACAAACCTAACGCTGTAACGGGGAGCACAGTCATGGACCAGGTCATCACGGGATGATAGTGGGAACTTCTGTCTCCGGAGGACTTAGACTTAGGGTTGCGCAGGAAGGAAAAGTGTGCTTGTGTCGCCCAGATCGCCTAGGAATGCATCACCAGCTGGATGAGTTTACGAGAAAGAGGGTGGGCACGGTGCAGGACCGTGTCTCCTCCCTGCCCCAGACCTTCCCCTCGCCTGCACCTTCAGAAGCCATGTCTGGCACAGACCTTTTGCTTGCGTCCTCCCCTGCCCCCTCCAGCTGCACCTCCCCTGCTGAGAGGATCTGTCCCTCTGCTCGCCGACCCCCCTTGAGCACCTGCGGGCTGCCAGGCACCGTCAGAATCACGGCATCCTGACGGAACCAGTGCCCACCCCAAGGGGCGTGCAGCCGCCCCGGGACTGAGACGGGTCACAGTCCTCGCTCTCTGGGCAGGTGCTGGTCCACACACCTACAGGCACTCACTCACGTCCTCGGCCCAGTGACCCCGTGCTGTGGGTGTAACTGCCACCCCTGCTTAGCTCCTAGGGACTCACCCAGGGGGTCAGTGTGTCACTAGACGTAAAGAAATCATTGGAGACATGATGGGTGCTGTCGAACCCTGATGGGGATGGAGAGAGAGCAAGGGACCGAGGCAGGGAAATCAGCCCAGAGAGTCAGACTCTGGTTCCAACCCCAGCTCCGCTACTTCATAGCTGTGTGGCTCCCAGGAAGCCATTGAACATCTCCAGATCCTTCTTCCGGCATCTAGAAAACAAAGCTGCTCACGCCTGCTCTGCAGAGCCGAACGCGGTCCCCTGTGCAGACTCTGCCCGGCACCACGCGGGTGCCGCCCACTCTGCGGTGTCCCCGGGGCCTGCTTCTCGGACCGTCAGCGTCTCTGTGACAGTGTCTGTGTCTGACCCCTCCTCAGGTGCCTCCCCCAGGACTCTCTGTAAGGCCGTGCGTTTATGTGGGGTGTTCAGTGAGTATTTGCAGAATGAAGGAGTGAGGGGGGTGGCAGGAGTGAGGGCTGCCACCAGCGCCTGGCAGGTGCCCCTTTTCCCTCAACCCCGGATTCCACCCTCCGTCCGACCAAAGGCTCCTGGCGGAGCAGGAGAGCGGGCGTTCCCTCTGAAGGGCCCGGCCACCGTGGCCTGGCGGTGGCTCCTCCCTGGTGTTGGCAGGCACGCGAAAGCCCATACAGCTTGATTTTGATGGTTTAATTTAACAGACTGTGCGTCCACCGCAGTCACTTCAAAAGAGTGTTGGTTTGATGTCTCAGCCGCACAAATTGAAAGAAAATGCCCGTGGCAAGAACACAGGGGTGTCGGGATTCAGGACCCTGTTTTCCAAGCAGGTGACCCAGCTGGCCGCTGTTGTCACGCTGCCGGATCACCCATCGGAGGACCTCATGTGTGAACACGGGGGGCTGCAGGTGGCCCATCACGGGGTCTAATCTGTGTCCTCTTTGTCTCCTGTCCCTCCCCACCGTCCCCGCCCCGCAGGAACGGCCTCGCCAGCTGCAGGACGCGGACTGAGAGCGAGCCGTCGTGCGGCTCCCCGGTGGTCAGCGGGGACCCCAAGGAGGACCACAACTACAGCAGCGCCAAGTCCTCCAACGCCCGGAGCAGCTCGCCCGCCAGCGACTCGGTCTCCTCCTCCTCGGCCGACGACCACTACGAGTTCACGGCCAAGGGGAGCCAGGAGGGCAGCGAGGGCAGCGAGGGGGGCTTCCAGAGCCAGGAGAGCCACAGCGACACGGAGGAGGACGACCGGAAGCGCAGCCTGAAGGAGGCCAAGGAGGCCCTGGGGGACAGCGGCTACGTGTCCCAGCACAAGAAGCGCCAGCACTTCGCCAAGGCCAGGAGGGTCCCCAGCGACACGCTGCCCCTCAAAAAGAGACGCACGGAAAAGCCCCCCGAGAGCGACGACGAGGAGATGAAGGAGGCAGCGGGGTCGCTGCTGCACTTGGCGGGGATCCGGTCCTGTTTGAACAACATCACCAATCGGACAGCAAAGGGGCAGAAGGAGCAAAAGGAAACCACAAAAAATTAAAAACAAGTCACTGATTTGTTTTGAACTTAAGGCCATTTGGTTTCAGCATGTCAGGAGATTTCTAATGATTTGTGGCAATATCAGCAATTTCTTTTTTTTTTTTTTCCTTTGGTTTGTTTTTCTTTCTTTTCTTTCCTTTTTTTTTAATTCGCCCCCCTCTTTTGTTTTGTACCCTTGAGAATTTTATTTTTAAAGGAGATTGAAGCCATAGAACTCATATTGACATTCAGCTGTTTTACAAAAGCTTTTCATTATCTGAAGACAAAACCGAAAAAGCCAAAATGACCATTGCTTCCTCCAGCGTGTCAGAAACACGTGGCTGAACCGCAGGGATGTCAGGAAAATGCCGCAGAATTACCCACACTTGGCACCTAGAAGGCCCCGCCCGCCCAGGAGCAGACCCGAGCTGGTGGCACCCTGCAGTGTGCTGTGCAGGGAAAGCCCTGGGCACGGCCGCTCGGCACTCAGGGGCGGGGGGGGTCGTCACGCCTCCTAACATCTTACGAGGTAGACACTGGGCCGTTCATGTCCACTGGGTGTCAGTGACTAAGGAAAAGAAAGGGGGTCAATTTGTAGCGATATTCCTCATCACCGAATTCTGTTCTATGTTAAATTAGGAGAATGTTCCACAAGCCATAAGCCTGTAGGTTGGCCCTGCACATGCACACACGCGTGCGAGAGAAAGAAAACGTGCAGCAAATGGGCTGTGTTTTCTTAACTGCCCAAGTGAAAATCAAGTCCAAAAAATTACAATAGCTGTTAAGCAAGGAAATGATGGTACATAATCTTTTTCTGTCTGTCAAAACTGATCTAAGAGAAAGCAAACAAGCGAAGAGCTATGGAACCTGCAATTAGTATTGTGGTATATTTTTAAAAGATGAAAGGCACATTGATGGACAAAAAAAAAAAAAGGAAAACATGGCAAACAATAAAAAAACTCCTATACTGCCCTCAAAATGGAGTTTGCAAATAATGTCAGTCAGGATTCATTTTTGCAAAAATCAGTGATTTCCACATTCAGCCAGTGTAGCCAGCAGAAATTTCTGATCCACAATGCATGGATTCCTTCTAAAAGAAAAAAGAAAAAAAATCACAAAAACACAAACTTTTTTTATTCAAAAATAAAGTTCTTGTAAGGTAAATAATGTATTTAGCATGAAGCATGAATTATTTTCATATAAATATAGAAAATAGAGAAAAGGCTATGCCTCTAATTTTTAAGCCCTTAGGCTTAGAGGTTCTTTGGGTTTTCTTCTTTTTCGTTTTTGTTTTCTTTAGTTTTGGTTTTTGTTGGTTTTTTCCCAATTGTTTTGTTTTGGTTTTTTGAAGCAGGTGTTTAAGGTTTAACCTTCTTCAGGGACAAATTCTGACTGTTGGGGAACTCACTCTGCAATATAAAAATGTCTTCGTGTTCCGGGAGGGCCTGCCTTGTCTTCGCTTCAGCCCCGACCCCTCTGGTTCTCTGTGGAGAAGTGTGTCCTTTCTCTCTGTCTGGACATGTTTATCACGACGCAATAATTCGAGGGCAAACTTGGCAGTGAGTGTGTATGATGGGATCAAGAGAATTAGGGGACGCTGACTTGAGAAAACCATCACCACCATTGGGTCCCAGGAAAAAAGGCAGTGAATAATTATGCAAATTCGCCAGGAGAAGGGAAACATGCTAATGGGCCTTATTGGTGAGGGTGTGAGGTAGGGGGCACGCGGAGGAGGTGACGCGGGCGTGGGAAGCACCGGCCCCACGGCCTTCTGTGACACCAGCTGGGTGGGGAGGGGCCGGCCATCTCTGCCGCCTCCGCGCACGGACCCTCCTGCAGCTCAGCCCACCTAGAGTGTGAGAGCGGAAGTCAGACCACAGGACAGTGTCCTGCAGCCCAGAAACGCCTGTGATCTTTGCCCGACAAAAATTATGGGGGGAGACCCAAAGAGAAATCTCTAGAAGGATGTGATTTTTTCCACCCAAACGGAAAGGAATTGTCTTGTTAAAACACAAACAAAAACACCCACTACTGTGGCTCAGGATACGAAGGTGAGGGAGAGGGATGGAAGTGGGGCGGTGATTTTTTTTAGAACCGGGACATGCAGGCCCAGGAGCTGGCACCAGGCGCTGCCGGCGGCCCCACCCGTGTGGCTGTGACGTGCCCTGGGGTGTGCCCTGTGCTCCTCTCCCTCTGGGCTGCGGATGGGAGACCCTGACGGAAATCAGCACCTGCACAGCTGGTCGCGTTTGTTACCTGAACTCTTCCAACGTGTTTGTTCAGGGGGTGGGTGGGGACACCAAGGGCCCTGTTCCCTCCAATCTCACCAGACGTTTGCTGCCCCAAAAGCCATCCACAGCTCTGGAACCCGAGGGACAGCGATCAGTGTTGTCACCTGATCAAGCCCAGGAGACCCCACCCCCACCCCTGAGATGAACTTGGGACTTCCCTCTGAAAGGCAGAGTAAGCATCAAGGCCTATTTCTGGCGGGGGGGCTTCTTCCGTTAAAACCCCACGGTGGGCTGTCTCCCCTCATTTCGTTTTTCTAAAGGAGCAAAGACCTCTTTTAGAAAAGAATAAAATGCAATGTGTGTGATTTACTTTTCTGATCTCTTTGAGAAATAGATAAATATCTTATAAAGTGTGTTCTTAACTCCAGAACCACTCTTTTTGCATAAATACCTCATTGGGCAGCTTTCTAAGTGTTATTTCCCCTGAGCCTCCCTCGGCCCCTTCGTAGGGGCCCAGGGGAGACTTACAGGGGAAACTTTAGTGAGGGTACTTTTTTCTATTTTTCTTCTGTTTTTGGAGGCATACACATTATGCATAACCAAAACAATGGCTCAATTGTGTTTAACTTTGTATTTTGATTGTTGAGAAAAAAAAATATCCATGTGTATGTGGCCGTTCGTGGTGAACTCATTGCAGAACGGGGTTGCCCGTGCCCTCACCAAGCCAAGGGGCAGGCGGCACCCTCTCCTACCCCCTCCTCCAAGAGCAGTAGAGAATTTAAGCACAAGCCTATTTGTGAAAGAATATTTTGTTCAAGTGTAATCCACTCTCGTCTTGGAATTCCTTCCCAAGCGTCAGGTGTTCTTCTAGCTTCCAAACTAGCCTATGTGTCCATTAGTCTGACAGGTCGCCCGAGCACACCGTTCAGGGGCGTGGGGGGTTTGCTTTCACTTCTCCTGCAGGGGGAGGTGGCGTTTCGTGTGTCATTCCAGTATCTCACATACTCACGTGGGGTGGGGGGAGGGGGAACCGGGGAACTATAGCAATATTTAAAGATGCTTTGGAAAACAGCCGTGAACACATCAGCACCGTGGCATCTACCATTACTCGCTGTTGGCCCTTGGACACGTTTAAGAGAAAGAGACTGTAGCTCTTTTTTCTTAAATGACATACACGTAGACAGTTACTTTTATGCTACTACAGTTGTCTTTAATCTCTAGTGTTATGTGGAAAGGGTTTGTTTGCATCGTAGAGTTTTTCCCAGCCTTATAATGTACCCTAAGCTCCTACTTTTCCCTCCCCCTCTTCAATCAGTCCGTATCCTTTCAAGAGTTCTCTAGTAAAGCTGTCTGTCTGGACCGGAAACGAGCCACACCCACTATGGGCGGGTGGCTGGAGACAGCTGTGGCAGGTTTCAGTCTTGCGCGGGGCTGAGTTCTGAAGAAGGCACGTGTCCGAGGCCTTTCCCGAGAACTGACCACTTGTAGGCGCACTCAGCGTGGGCGCGGCAGTGGCCACCATGGGACATTCTAGAAGAGGCCACTCTCTTGCACGGTGTTCCCGGAGCATCAGGCTGTGGGCTCTGTAGCGTGAACACCGCCCGGGTGGCTTTTGTGCCCAGCTCCACCCTGGGACACACCAGGGCTGCTCGGGGCCAAGTTCTGCATCCCACACCACGAGCATGGGCGCCTAGCTTGTCACGGAAGGGCCCTTGGAGAAGGAATCAGAGCTGCGTACACGGGAGGGGTTTCCACAGGGGGCTGGTTTCGATCCGACGTGACTTCTCTTTCCCTTGAGACCTGATTCAGGTTGGGAGTCCTTTCTGTCTGGTGGATCACAGCTGCCCAGGTGTTGTGATTTATTTTTACGTTTCCGTAGAAAAGTGGGGTTTTTTTTTCCCTTTCACCTTCAGGATTTTTGCCACCAAAAGAACACATTTGAACTCTGTGTCCCCTCTTGATTGTGACTTGCCAGTGTGGACAGTTAAATCCCCGTTGTCATCGGCCCTGGCCTCCAGTACTATATCAAACACTTATGCACACCATGCAGCACTGTGATCTAATTTAAATAGTACTTTTTTATTATTTATACTACTATATATAATATACATCAACACTTTTGCTATATAACCTACGTGGATAACCCTCTCTTAGTTACCTGCCAAACTTGGGACTTTGGTTTATATTGCAGTTAACGCAGTTACAAAGTCGTAATGGTGTCTTTTTCTTCCCCCCTTTGTAATGGAATGTGTAAATCAAAGTATATACATTGTGTGGTGTTCCTGTTTCTGGAGTTTCACGAGGATTTACACACGGCATTCAGTGTTCTGTATAGACCCCCCTGCCTCCGTGGCTCCATCTGTTAACCCCTCTTCCTTTAAGAGAGCGCCCGCGCTGGTGGGGACCCCCGTGTTCTCTCTCCCCCACTGGTCGTTCTTGAATCAAGCACAGACTCCTCGGCTCTGTTGCTTCATCATGAAAAATTTGCGTGACCTTGACATTCTTCCACAGTTCCACAAACAACTGCTAGCTTCACTGACCAAAAACTAAGGAAGGAAAATGCGATTTTTAACACAACCCATCTTCTCACAGCCGAAACCGACGTGTCTATGGTGCTGTGCCCTGCTGTCTGTCTGTCGGACTTCTGAAATCAGACCTAGGTGAAAGGTCACTTCTGACCTAACTGCGATGTGCTCACGAGTCCCCTTCCCGTTCGTTCTTGTCAGCGTCGAGATCAAGACTATTTATTTGGGATATATATACCACAGTGTTTTCCACTGTGTTCATTTGCAAACGTGGAGGACGCCCTTCCCTGCTTTTGCAAATAATTAATATTCCATATTGGATTCTCAAAGACTTCGATATGGTGAACCTATCAAACCTAGAAATTGTATTTCATCCTTTCATTACTGTGGCCTGAGTTCCCCAAACCCTCCCTCCCCACCACCCCACCCGCCATTTTCAGATGAAACTTAGCACCGTTCAGTTCGTCAACATTCAGCCTTCCCTGAGCATGTGTGTTGAGGCCATCCAAGCTCATGGCTGATTCAGTAACTAGTTTCCTGTCCTGTTACTCACACTCACTATGTATACACTGCCGTGGTGAAAAATGGGGAGGCTGAAGGAGCCGGGTGTGTCTGGGAAGCATCCTACACTTGTGCGTTCTTGAACCCTCTGATTCTGTAACACTTCTCAGTTGTTTTTGTTTGACGGGACAATAAGAGTTGATAACGCAATCAGAAGACCAAGACGTTTACTGTCGATGTTTAGGGTTGCCTGGCCTTTGCCAGCCAATAGACCTACATGGCCAAATTAATTTACTGGAGTAATAATTTTTTCAAAAGCCAATTTTCTTTCCTGTACTTTCTGTATGAAACTGCCAATATCACAAATGGAAAGGGAGAGCCGGAAAGGAAAAGAAAAGTGATGTTCGGTGGCGTCCACGGTGTGGAGCAGTGTGGAGGCAGGCACGATCGGCCGAACGTAGGGACCTGACGGTGTTGCTTTGGAGGTGTCCATACTTGCATTTTGCATTCTTCACATGTAATCATATTGCCAAAGACAAACTTTCATCATTTATTGTAAATAACACTTTCCCCCAAACCTACCATAAAGTTTCTGTGATGTATTGTCTTCCAGTTGCAATAAAAATTACTGAGTTGCATCAGTTGGAGAGAGATGCCTTGTCCTTTTGCACGCATTGCGTCTCCACGTGCAAATGCTGAGCGGGATTTTGCACCTGCACGTGCCCCTGCACTGCCGTGTGCAGCCTCCCCAGTCCGGTCTTTGGGCCTCGGCCACGCTCATGGTGCCCGTCCTCGAGTCACCGAACAGCACTGGTGTTCCACTGCCCACTGTCACCCTCTAGGAAAAATTCCACAGGCAAAGATTTGGTGATAAAGGAGAGGAGTGTTCATTCAAAAGCTTTGCAATTTTGGAATAATGGCTTTCCATGTGTATTAGTCCCTTGAGCCTATCAATTAAGGCTAAACTCTTTAACACCTGAATTCTATCATTTCCCCCGTTTAAATTATGTTATTTCTATAGAGTTAGTTTACAAACGAAAATGACGTACGATCCAAAAGCTACGCAATTTTGGAAGAACGGCAGGCTCCTGCCCCAGAGGTCCTCGTCCCCTCTAGATCACCCAAGGAAAAACAACCCTGCTACCCTATTCCAGGCCAGCCCGACCCGAGGCTGCGCCTGGAATTCCACCCCATGCGAAACACTGTTGAGAAAAGCAAGCAGCTGCGGTGTCATCATCCAGGCATCCTCCAGGAAGGGAGCCAGAGCCCACCAGCCAGCCAGCCAGCCCAAATCTCGCCCATAATCCCATGTGCTCTGGAGGCATCCAGCTTCTCAGCCAGCCCCATCCCGGACTGTTTATCATTGCCTGGGGCAAACTCCTTCGGCCCCTTCCTCCTCCTCCCCAATGATCCAAGCAGGTCTTTCTGTATCACTCAGGCCTGCTTTCCTTTTTCTGAAAAATCACACATCTTTCTGCAAATCCGTGCTCAGCCCAAGGCTGAGCTTCCCCGTGGCCTGGGAATTCCAGCTTTAGACAGCCCGCCTTCCACCTCGGGCCTAGGAGTTTGTGGTTAAGAGAGCGCACCTTTCCTAACCCTCTGGTTTTCATCTTCCAGGATTTAATCCAACACCACTGAGACACCCTTCCCGTCCAACACACACACACACCAGGGGCCAAGCAGAAAGCTGAGGAGAGGAGGGGCTGGGACAAGTGACAGATCACAGGGCACTGTCACCAAGCTGGAGGAGCAGAGTGACGATATTCTCACAGATCTTCGCTGTGCTCCTTTTGAGACGGTTTTTGTTTTCAAGTGCTCAGTAACCCCAGCAGAGCTGGCCTGGGCCACTCCTCTTCTACTGGGGCCCCATTCACTGGTGTCATCAACGATGTCAGGCTGTGCCTCCTGGGGTCTGTGCTTTCCACTGTCACCGGAAGGTCAATAGTCCCCTAAAGATCTCTTGTCTTCCAGCAATCCTGCCATGTCCATTTCCGCTGCTGGAATCACCTGCAAAACAGTGGTGTGCCCTCCTGGATAAATCTTCAATATATGAGAACAGCTGACTGGGAGGAAGAACAGAAGGTCATTTTGATCAAATCGGACGGATCAGGTAGTTGGCCAAGGTCATTAATGCTTAAGGCCACAGAGAAGGCGTGGCTACCATGAAGCAGCCATAGCAAACGCTTCCTGTACATGATTCTCACAGTGGCTAGACAGGAGACACCAGTTAGAGCATCATAACAGGTGTCTAAGGAAACTCAGTCAAAATGATAACACCTGCAAAATTCTGACCTGACCTCCCGGGTACACTAAGCATCCCACAGAAATGAACAAAATGCAGGCAGTGGCTTGTGGCCCATCGGGAAGTCCCTCGTAGAAAGCCTGGGGGCTAAGGCGTGGTTTAAGCGGGAAAGTAGACAAGTGAAACAGACAGAATTGAAACAACACTGCATGACAATAGAAAAACTGCCACCAACGTCGTATTTGCCCTATCAGCATTGCCCGTGATTTTCATTAATTATTCGTCCGCTACCCTCATGAGGTAGTTCACTTTTTTCATTCAAGAAGCACCCATTTAGCACCATCCCCCTCCCAGTGACTGCTGGGTGACAGTGACACGTGGGGGCGGTTTTCAAGGGGCTCAGGGAAGAGGGGTGCTCCCGTGGCACCCCAGAAGGGGGTGGGGACGGTCTCCCTGGAGCCAAGCTTCCCCGAGGGTTAAGCAATGGCAACCTTGTGACAGAAAATGAAGGGTGCTGCCAGGTGACTGACTGGAAAGGACTGTGTCCCTCGCTGTTGCCACGTGTGTTCAATTACTGAATGTTCCTCTCCATCTGCTTCTCTGCCCTCATCCAAATGGCCCCACAGCCGCCGGGCCCCTCCTCCCTCAGTTCACACTCCAGTTCTTTCTCTGAAAAGAAGAAAAGCAATGACCAGTGTCTTCATTTTATTAAAAACGATTTGGGATAATGCAACCACGAAATCGGAGGTACTAATAATAAGCTCATGCTCATAAGCTGCGTGGTTTCATCCTCAGCATTCGAGAGCCTGTGCTGTGCATTTGGCTGGGGGACTGTACATCTAATGTTCTGTGTTTCCTTTGAGCCAAACGCAAGCTTCTGGTCTCTGCCTTAAAGATGTGGTTGTTTGCCAGAGAGATGCCTCATTTACATATTTAAATACTCTACATGCCCTCTCATTGTTAGGTAATGTAGATGTAGGCTATCCTGTATTTTTAAATTTTTTCCTGGACAATTGAAAGTGGGTTATTGCCCTGGCTGGTGTAGTAGTTGGTTGGAGCATTGTCCTGTAAACCAAAAAGGTCATGGGTTCTATTCCCAGTCCAGGCACATAGCTAGGTTGTGGGTCTGGTCCCCAGCCAGGGACCATGCAAGAAGCAACTGATCGATGTTTCTCTCTCACATCGATGTTTCTCTCTCTCTCTCTCTCTCTCTCTCTCTTCCTCCATTCCACTCTCTCTAAAATCAATCAGTATGTCTTTGGGTGAGGATTAAAGAAAATGGGTTATTTGCTGAAAGGAGCAGACAACAGTGTCTGCAGAAGTTGTGTGAATTCTCAGGGCAGTGAAGCCCACCCCACCCCCCAGGTACACCAGGTTCCCCAGGTAAGTGTTGATGCCGTGGGGTGGGTGCTGGTGAGGGTGCGGCTGCCCCGACCAGTTTCTCCTCCTCTCAACTCCTCTGCCTGAGGAAAGAGCAGTGTTCTTTATTCATTCTTCTAGAAACTTCTGGACAAATGATGGCGATTTCAGAGGAAGTCTGGCGTGACTAGGGGGTTTCTAAGAGCTGAAAGCCCAAGTCCCATGCTGCTTCCCAGGTTCTCAAGGAATTAATGGTCCTACCCAGGCACAAACCTAAGTGTGTTTGGACCATTTTCTTCATTGAGCTATAAAACCAGGGCTCCAGGAACCAGGTAAGGACACTTTCTTTGAAGAACTCAAACCTAGTGAATAAATCCATTTATTAAATGCTCACCTCTTCCCTTGGCTTTGTGTGAATGAATAAACTTTCCCAGAACAAGGTCTTTAAATAACGCTCCCAGCAGTAGTACTTTGATTTGAGATCAGTCCTGGGCATTTTGGGGCGAAGGACCCTAATGATTGGAGAACTGTTTAATGTTACTGCATGACAAAGTGCTCACGGAGCAGATGCCAAATCCCCTTCCAAACACAGTCGCTTGTGTAAGAGGGATCAAGAAATCCTTTTTTTTTTTTTTTTACTCATTTCTAAACTGGTTTCTAAAGATCTCTGATGTGCAAGGACCACGGTTTGATGGGAAAGTCAGAAAACCAGGTGCTGCTGGCTGCTCCTTAGTCCCTCTGAGCATCGGCTTCTTCACTACGGGCCATTCTGTTCACACCGGAACACAGGGGGACTTCAGAGGCCACTGAATCCCAATCCCCTACATTACAGACCAGCAGCAGAGGTGCAGAAAAGTCCAGGGATTTTGCCAGGATGACCAAGCTAGCTAGTGGCAGAGCTGGATGTAAAAACAGGAAATTCTCCATTTTTTGTCATATCCATTCATTTGTACGTAATTATAATAATCACATCTGTAGAATTTTGTAGCTGGCAATCCCCATATATACACACTTAACCTTGTGTCCTAGACACTTTGCATATAGCTACGGTGAAAATGACTATCTTTTAAAATGATAAAATCATACATAACATTCCATTGAGTGGTGGTGGCCTGTCATTTTCAATGGTTACCCTACTGTCCACTGTTTAAATTGCTTCCAGTTTCCCTCTGCTGTAAGTAACACCACAATGAACAGCAGGTGTGCGATTGTCTATTTTCCACTTGTCCTTTGGTTCGACAGCCTATCAGACCATTGGAACAGGAGAGCCATCAGTGTTACAGCTCCTTACAGTCAGGCTTTGCAAAAGGCATCGGTGCAGACTTCATAGCATCCTTGCCAGTATTGAAATAGATTTTTCTCTTCCATTTTTGCTGGAAGATAAAAATAATGCTTTATTGCTGTTGGAGCTTTTATTTAATGACTAGCAAAGCTATATTATTTTCCATATGTTTACTGGCCATTTATTTTTTTTTCAGAACCAACTGTAACGGACTCTCCACGAGTTCAAAAGAGAGGGAAGCGAGACGTGTAGCCTCCTCTCTGCAAGGTTCCTGAGGAGCCATCAAATGGTGCCGGGATGACCGACACAGCCCCTGACCTCATATTCTCCTTTCATCCTCAGAACGTCAAATTGTGCTCATACTGACACAAAATCCCAATTCCTAAAACTGTGGCCTGAAGTGCCTCGGATAGCCACAAAAACGCAGACCTGAGTCATCTTGCACAGAGCAACCACTGATATGTTTGGAAACGAGAACAATCTCCTCCCCGAGTCCTTTCTAGAACACGCGTTCCCAGCTCTGTCTGTGGGCATGTTCTGTCCTGGATGTGTCCCTGTCTGCGCTCGGGACCGAGAGCTGAAAACAGGCTCCGTCTGACCATGAGCAGCTATCACTTCCTCCTTTCTGGTCCTCCAGTCCTATTCATGTAGCCAAGGCTAATTTTATTTGTTTCTAGAAGTCTCATCCCAGCACTGACTCACACCGAACTTGCTGTTGACTGAAGCGATGGAGTCCCAGCTGCTGGTGCACTTCTCCG